GATGCGATACTACGATATGCATTAGAATGAGATAGCATTAAAGCAGTTATTAATTTATCATGTATATTATCTATGTAATTCTTCCCTGTTGTTCTGAAAAATCTCCATTCAGTGCAACATGAATGCTTCAGTCATGGTTCTTTGCTTGAAGTCCTTTTCAGAATAGAAGCCTAATATGTTATATTATGCATAAAAGATAAATTAATTTCTGGCATAATTTGATTAATGCTGGATTTGCACTATAGCTGAACGGGCTCAATGGAATTGTTTGAGGGAAGATGAAGCATAGCATTCCCAAAGGTTTTACTCCAACTGTTTTCTTGTCACCTAGATTTGAAAAGCTTTCTTGGAAGAAGAATTTGTAACTAATTTATGTTGGTACTTAATAGCCAGACAGCTTATTTTTAAATCTATTATTTTTTGCTACCCCTTTCTGTAGAGCAGCTCTAAGAAACAAGCCTAGTGCTAACCTCATTTTCTTGTCTCGGTAATGAGATATTGAGTGTATGTACACAATATGTGTGCAGTGTAGGAGGGGGTGATTATGTTTTCTTAACCAGGGCATCTCAGAGGTGCTTAATATTTCATCACAAATTGCGCTGGTAAATTAATAGTTCATCTGGCTAGTTAGATTTACTAGGGCAGATGGCATTTTGCATGTGTGGTGAGAAGGGGAAGGAGACAGAGCAAAGCAGTAATGTAATTAGCCGTGTAAATGAGCCTCACAAGGTAAATCTCTTTAACCCCAGTGATAAAATGTGTTCTGTGCTAAAACCTTGGATTACTGGTCCTGTAAAACAATGTGTGCAGCTGGTCAAGATGAGATTTCAGAAGTAATCCCATTAATTTGAAAATAGAGGACACCGCTTTTTATCACACCTTCTTAGCACTTTTATATTTGAAACAAATCAGCCTCAAGGTGGTACTCTACCAATAACGCAGAAGAGAGTTGTGTGGGGTTACCTTGGTTCAGTTTTAAATAAAAACTTATTTGAATGCTAGAGATGAGATGTTCTAGCTAGGGAGGAAGGGTGCTTCCGAAAAGCAAACCAAAATCACAGACTGAATGAAATGTGAGCTGAGGTGTCTCTTCACTGTGCTACAGTGAGCAGTGCAGCCATACCAGAAAACATGATACTTGTGTTTACACAGTGCCTGGCACAGGGTGTTTCCCCTGCTTAACCCTCAAGCGCTGCAGTAGTAACCATCATTACTATCCATGTGCGTAAAACCTGATAGTAATCAGATTCTGATTCTGCAAAACCACGGAAGTGAGTTTGTGCTTACAGATGTGTAGGTGAGTAACTGCAGGTAATCTCGCATTCAGTTACAGCCAAAATAATTTTTTGGGGGGAATATGTATGACTTCCACATTTCAAATGAAATGAATTAACTGGGAATTTGTCTCATCCAGTTGATACTGAGGGCTATGGAAATAGTAAATTCATGACAAAGACTGGTCAATCGCTGTGTGCTGCCTGGTGAGAAAAACACCCTGAAGCTTCATGTTGTTTCTGAAAAATCATTACAAAGTAATATAAGTAGTAAATCTCTATTCAGCAGGGAAATCTCGCATTCTGAAAAATTAAGGGAAAAAATGGGCTGTGTAATACTGGCTATTGTGCTACTTATGAAACCTGTATTATTCTCAGTATTTAAATTACTCAATCCACGTGGGAACTTTTTGTACCTATTTTCAGGCTTTCTTGTTTATGATAAACCTAAAGGTGTGTTAGTTTCTGCTGAAAAGGCTTTAGAGCATCTAAATTTCAAAACCACATTGAAAATGCTGTTTTCTGCATCAGTTAGTGATAGCGTATTCAGGTTGATTTCTGGTTTTTGGAGGTTTTTTTTTTTTTTGCCTGGCAGCCTATAAATTATGGAAACAGTACAAATAAAAACTGAATCAGGAACATTCTGAGCAAGTAATCAGAGCAGTTTTGGGATTTTGGTTTGGTTTTTTTAAGTATTGGATGTTCTCCTTGAAGATACTGAAAACCTGACTGGACGTGGCTCTGTGTAACCTGCAGTGGGTGACTGCTGAGCTGGGGGGTTGGACTGGACTATCTTAGGGGGTCCCTTTCAGCCTCAACTGTCTTCTCTTTCTCTTGAGTAGTTTTACATGCACATGCAGATGTCCATAAATATATATGTGTGTATAGATGTGTGTAAGACTTGATATACATTTTTAAATTTTCATTTTAATTTATGATGGGGACAATGGTCAACTAGAAACCGTACAACTTTTATTTAACAGGAAAGGCTAATGCTTTTAAACTTTTATCTTATACTGGTTGCTGACAGTGGGAAGCATATCAAAGAAAGTTTTTGTCAATAATAAAATTTAGCTTTCTTACATGCTTCCTGGCAGTGCTTTCACTCCTCCATTAAATGATTTATAATGAAAGGTCAGCATGATTGTAGGATAACTTTGGAATAAATTAGACCAGAAGGGACCCCTGGAGGTCATTGGGTCCAACCCTTTTCCAAAGCAAGATGAGCCCCTAAGTTAGGAGTGACCTGGAAGTGAGGTTGCTGGGAGCTGTCCTGCTTGGCTTTGGAGTAGCAGCAAGGAGGGCAATGCCACAGGGTCCTGGGCAGTCAGCTCCCGTGTTTCAGGGCCTGTTGCAGATGGTCTGTACTGCTTCATGCACTGAGGATCACAGAAGCTATTCCTTTTTCTTCCTTCCCATCGCTTTCTTAATAAAGTTGGTAGAAATTTTTCTTTAGCAGCTGTGTGTGTTGTCACACAATGCTAAATGGCTGAATAAATTTGTAAACAAGAGGGTTATTTTAGCCCTTTTCTTCTCTTGCATGCTAAAAGGCATCTAGCTGTAGAGAAAATTCATTGCCTTACGTATTTTTATGCACCAGTGTTTCTTAAGTTTACTTGGTAGATATATAGGTATAAGCAAGGAGAAAGAAATGTTGTCTCTGAAGAATAAAAAAAATGTCTAACAGCCAGTGTGGATTACATTTTTGGGGGTTGCGCAGTGCTGCCTCACTTGGCCGTCTATCTCCTTGCCTCTGGAACTCCCTGAGAAACACGGATGCACATGGATGTACAGGGAGGACTCTACTGGTCCCAGCGTGCAAGATGTCTTGCAGCTGCAGCGGTGGATCAGTTGTGTGCTGCCCATGCTGTGGTGCATGCCCTTTGCTTCAGCAGTCTCCTGACTCTCAAGGTGCAGAGCTTGAAAGGATTTGCAGGGATCATAACTCTTGTGTTCTTCCTGGGTGCTTATTCTTTGTATGTTTTGGGTTTACTTCTGTTACTATGGGATTCCGCCTTACCTTCTAGCATATGTATGGTCTTTCCAAAATGAGGTTGCCTCACTGTAGAGAGTCCTTGATCATCTGCTGCTAGCACTCTTTCTGCATTTTAGAATACACTCCCTGCCTGTGGATGATTTGCAGCTTGACATTCCTGTGATATGTTAACAGAATTTTTTTCATTTTTTAATTGGCAGTCTTGCTGGCTGCAGCTTCCTTGCAGGGAGTACCTTCCTCCAAACAGCAGTTGTTGCCTCGCTGTTGTGTGTTTTCTTTCCTTGGGCACAGTTTTCTGCGAGGAGCTCCGCAGGATCTCCTCAGCCTGCAGATCCGTCGAGTCCATGCTCCCTCTGCAGGGTGTTGGGGAGGGAGGATTATGGGTGCTGTTAGCTTAGGGGTTGGTTTGCAGGATTAGAGAGGTGTGAGATCACAGCCCCTGTGAACTCACTGAATATTTCACGAGTGCTACAAATAAATTCTGAGAGGGCTTGGATTTTTTGGGAGGTGAACAGTCATTTTGAACCTACAGGACAGGTAATTTACTGGAGGTTTTTCTCAAGTATGTTCAGTTGCATATGGGGAGACTGACAATGGGGAGATAGTGCCGTGAAGTACAGCTCTGTATGAACGCATGGGCAGAGTCCTCCTCCTTGAGGTGTGATGTGCTCCTTCCTAATGTGTTTCCTCTTCATCAGAGACCAAAAGTTCAGCCAGTCATTTCTCCCAAACATCCAGATGCTGCTGCTCTTACACAACCTAGCATGGAGTATACCCAGAGCCGCTGGTGCCCCTCTGAGGCGGAGGGTGTGCAGAGCGAGGGGTGCCCCTCTTCAAGTGCAGGATGTCACGGAAATGACCGGGAGCCACAGTTCCCACCATTGTTCCCATAGGGTTGGCAAAACCTTGATAAGGGTGGGCTGGTGATGTCCCAGAAAGGGGATCCATTAATCGCAGCTGCTGGTGTTTACTGAAGGAAACTGGTGTGGTGAAACGATATTTATAATGTTCAGTGGCACTATTTGTGTTAAATTCCTACTTTCTTTTTTTGGTGGTTGCTGTATTTTGTCTATGTTGTGAATAAATTAGAAATGACTGTTAGATGGAGCTGCACGCACAGTAAGTTGGCACGTTAGGCTTTCTGATTTGTTTTGGCAGTGTTGCATACTCTCTTGCAAACAAAACAAAAAAATAAAAAAAAAAATAAAAAATTGGGATAATGGGGATAATGTTGGCAAGAATAAGGGCCGCCTTCCTTGTGCCATTCAGTCAAGAAGTCATTGTTAATGTGCTTGTTTTGCACGCTGTCTGTCTACTGCTGTATATGTGTGCGTGTACATATATATGCATGCATGTGTGTACTTGTCATAAACATGAAGCAAAGCTGATAACTGAACTTTGTCCAAGTAATTGATAAGTTTGGGATTCACTTTTAATAATGATGCTATGGTACAGAGGATGACCTCAGAAAAACCTTCACTGTATTTCAGTGGGAATTGATTAGAATAGGTAACCTGGGTATCCTCCTGTGAGCTCACAAAATATACAGTTGGTTAAAAATTGTTGTCACTAGACAGGTTTATGGAAACACTTATGAGCTTGCCTATCCTGTTGATGTCTGTTCTTAATTTCATCTTGCCTGCCTAACAGTAGAATTCATACCATCCTCTTTCTGCTGTTTTTATTATTTATGTTGTTTAAAACTCTGGAATATTCTTATTTATTTTCAGATCTCATCAGAAAACTAGCACAGCAGAAGTTTGGGAATACACAGGGCGATTATCAAAAGGTAAATTGTCTATACGTGTCTGCATAAAATGATAGAAACAATGACTCTGAAATTTAGTTTTGTTTCTAAACCAGGAAATAGCATTTTAAAGCTATAACAACAGTGCAAGAATGAAGTCTGTGAATTGTGTGTTATGGTTTCATACAAAATTTGAGACCAAAACCTTTCAAAATACATTACAAAGAAAATTTCGTAAGCCACTGTAAAGAAGCTATGCATAGTTAAGGCTCACTTACAAATTCCAGCTGTAATGTGACTGTGGTGTCTGTTGCACAAAGATTGAAGGCTCTTTGTATTGAAAAACGCTGCTTTTACTTAAAAACGCTGAAGAGAACCATTAGTGCTCAGCTCTCATGTTAGCTTCAGCTATTGTCCTCAAAAAGCTGAATTTATATGCTGATTCCAGTGCCTTTGAAAACAAAGTTTCCATAGCCTACTTATAAAGTATATTTTAGTTTATGCAGTGTGCTGATCACATCAAGCATATTTCCCATTCTCTCTTTAGGGTTTGTGGCTATCCTGTAACAGTTGAGATTCATAGGGTACTTGGTAGCAAGAGAAGATAGAAAGTAGCATGGATCTGGTTTTGGGCTGTTCTCAAGGGCAGTAACCTATCTTTGAAGCAATGTCACGGGTTGAGTGCCTGCAGCAGGAACCTTGACCAGGCCCGCACAGTGGACACAATACTTTGTGCGAGCTACTTGCTGGCAGTCCCTGCGGTCTGGTGTACCTGTCAGGGGGATGAGTATGGGACTTGGCATTCAGGCACTGAGCGACTGCCTTGAATCAGGATGACCTAAATGATCTTGGGATTTGAAGGGGGAAGGCCTCGTGCTTCCATGTCTTCCCAACAGTGAACCTATTGCAGCGGTAGCTTGATGACGTCTGCATGACATCCGAGTGCACGGATATTGCCACTGTGCTGCATCAAGATCCCCTTGCCGATCCCATATGCTTGTTTGGTGGGGCTCTGCGAGACGAGGAACGTAGGGTCGACTTGGTTGGCAAAGTCTTTGGACAAAACCATTAGACCATAGGTGGTATACATGAATGTGCGTATAGTATTTAGTAACTATTAGGTAAGTCATGATAAATTTGAGACTAATGACAGCTGTCATCCTGCTTAGTGGAGACACTTGTTAAAATACTGTGTGATTATAGGGTGGCAAATACAATATTAGGTGTGCTTAGGAAGTAAAACAGGTATAGGCCATCTATAGCTCCTAATTTTGAGCCGAATACAATGCAAAACTTAAAAACAAATTTGGAAAAGGTTTTTGATAGATTTTTATCAAGACAAGCAGAGAGTCCCTTAGAAGATAGAAGCATCAACAAGAGGTATCTGTGAAGAGGCCAACATGGCTGTAGATGTGCCCCGGAGGAATTTCCAGGGGGGTTAGGGAAGCATGAGTGTCACTGAAGGGTGCGGGTAAGTAGTTAGAAATGTTGCTTGTGGTTTTGATCACTCAAATTCAGGGAGAACGAACTCTGAGCAGGATGGGTTCAGAAAGTGTGTGTTAGGATGATCTGAGAAACACACAGGTCTTCAGAGGAGACTGGAAGAGTTTCATTACCTTAGCAAAATAATTGATAAGGTAGGTGATTACTTCTTATAAATATATATGGAGAGGGAACACCACCCAAATAACAGTTTTCTCTTCCTGAAAGTAAGATGGTGCTATCACAGAAGCAAGGCAGAACTGGGTCATGTGTACATCAACGTGAGAAGACTCACTAGTTCACCACATTGGGAACAGCCCTTTGGTAGCGAGGATAGGAAATCTGGTTCTGATATTTATCCTGTTAAATTTCTACTGCTGTTCCTCTGTATCTTTTTTTTTTTTTTAAGCTATTTGTAGAATGTGTTAGTGACCCAGGAGGCCCTTCCCGCTTCTGTGCCGCGTGTCCCTGTGTTCCCAGTTGGACTTGTACCATCGGTGTCTCCCTGTCCCCTGTCAGGGACAGCAATCTGCCAGGACAGCCCAGCAGCTGAGCGCAGCTGCCCTGCCTGCTCAGGGGAGCCAGCTCGCTGCTGCTGCCATCGCTGACTGCTGCAGGGAGATGAGCTTGCCTAAAATGTTCAAAATCATCCTCGGTACTAGATTTTCAAGGGACGGTAAACATTTGTTTTCCTCCCATTAAAAGTATAGTTCCAGATATGATTTTGAACATTTTAAGCATTTTATACATTGGAAGTTGTGTGTCACGCTGAAAAAAATTTCCTAAAACTTGAGAACCTTTCTGATTCTCACACATCAGACTTTGGGTCGAGGAGTCTTGCTGTCTTTAGCTTGTTCTCTTCCCTTTTCTCTTCTGCTTATGAGAAAGGGGAAAGTGTTATCAGCTGTGAAGCTGTCACACAGAGATGAAGGGGAAAAATACAAGAAATTGTATTTCCATTGCAGAAAAAAAGGGGAAATTGGGTGGTTCTGAAATTCCTGTAATTGAATATTCAGTTTTCAGTTTTTTTCTGAACTTACAGATAAGAAATCAGTTAAGAACCTGATAGATTACTTCAGTCTTTCTTGAATGCTTTTTCTTTTTTAACTTTTGAATAATTTAAAATAAACCTCTACATAATTAGTAAAAACTGAGGGTGAATTTTGTGTGTAATGTGTTAAGAACCCAAAACTGCTTCTAAAACTGCTGCTTTTATGCCAAAATAAAATAAGCATTTGAAAAGAAAAAGTTAGTCAGGAGTATCATAGGTTGGTTACAACAGGTGGAATTCATGAAGAAATTGCTAAACCACAAAGTAATGCAATCTCTGGCCTTCTGTTGTGTGAGATGTGTTGGGAATTACATGAAACTGATGATCAGTGTAGAAAAACTGGTCTGTTGCTGTTTTAAGGTGGAAATATTTGTTGGACAAATTCTAGATTCCTTTCACTTACCAAGGAAACCAGAAATGACCTGCTATGTACTTTATGGTAAATAATTTTCCATAATTATTTAATGGTGTGTCTATGCATTATTTTACTTTAGTGTCTTTTTATATCTTTTCTGTGTTGTTAATTGTTTTGGTCATGGTTAATTATTCATTGCTCACATGATTTGTTTTTGTGCATGCTGCCTGTGTATTATACACATTCTCCATTTGTTTTGACTTCCACAGCCAGAAAATGTTGTCCTGACGCTTCAGGTAATGTCTTACAGTAGATATACAGCTTTGAAAAGAAACTAACCATGTCTGTATGTGCTACTTCTATTAAAACATCCATAAATATTTTTAATGTTATTTAAAATGCCTTTTTCCATCTAACCTATTTTAAAATTCATTGTCAAGTAATTTCAGAAGTGTACAGCTAACTAGAAGACAGCAATTCTTTCGCAAAATCTAGCCAACTTCTTCCAAGCATCTAGTTCGTATTCTTCAGAAGGGATAACAGCTTTCAAGCAGCAGTTAATAATAATAATAAAAAAAATAGAATTCATCCTAGAATTGGTAATTAGGTCAGAAATTTGCAGCTCTGCTAATGGTGATGGTTGCTGCATTTGGATCAGTTGGTAATTAGGGATTGTGAGGAAGAGCATCAGCAAAGCTGGAACTGGAGCATGATTGATAGCTTGTGAGAAATTGTGGCTTATTTTGCAGGACGATACACAGCCTCAATTCATCCTTTTACTGCCAAGTTGCCCTTGTGCTGGCGGATTAGTAAAACAGAAGAGGACTCAAAGTACTAGTGTGAGAATTAGTTCTCCTAAAATTGGGAAAGGAAAAGAGAAAAGTGATTTATCAAGCAAGAAAGACCGCTGGGGCTTGTCCATACAGTGCTGTCTACCTCTGTGGGCAGACACCTGCCCGGTGCGGTTCTGGATGTGTTGGCCTGTGTTCGCAGCAGAGGGGAATGGCGTGGCCAGCTCTCAGCTTGTCCCCTGGAAGCCACGTTGTCGTGCGTGGGGCTGTGCCAGGGCTGCCTGGCCCAGCTTCTTCATCCTGGGGCGCTTGCACTGCTTCCAGCCTAAAAGCTAGTAAGGGTATTGCATTGCATCGTTCCCTTTCAATCCTTAGAGCTTTTGAAAGTGTCCTTTCAGTTGCTGCTGCTTTGCTGTTTGGCAGCAGAATAATGCCTTTACCTGAGAGAGCTTAAAAATCCACTCCTTCATGTTTTCCAGTCCCTAAGCAGTTTTTACTTCAGCAGTTTGGAGAAACCTCTGCCACTGCAATCGATCATCCAGTGAAGTACTTTCCTGTGCGGTTCATATGATTCTTTACACTCATAACTGATTAAAAAGGAGAACAAGCTAAGCCTCTCTCCCCCCTCCCAGATGAGGTGTTGATCTAGTCAGCCTTGCTGACATTTGGGGAGCCTTTTTGGAAACAGGTGTCAGATACAGTAAATTTGCAGTCCGGGAAATCAAATGTGTTCATTTTTAACCTATTTCAATTACATCAATTCACATTTGTTTCTTGTGAGCATATTTCTCTCTTAGCACTCACTCCTGTAGTTTACCTAGCTAATATTCTAGCTGAACAATTATTAGCTATCAGTATCTACAATGTTGTTTTGTGGGGTTTGGGTTTTTTTGGGTTTTTTAGAAGAGTTGTCAGTTACTGACAAAATACACCAAGTCCGTAACCTCGGTAACTTAGTAGATGGTTTAGTCTGTAGTTTGATTTTTAATTATTTGCTCTATATTGATTACTGTGTGTTATCTGCTGTTACCACTATTTTTGTCTGAATTGCAGGCCATCTACTATGAAATCGGTTTTATAGTCTCCGCAGCCTTGGGATTGCTATTTATTTTGTTACTGCCTCTTGTGGGACTTTGCTTCTGTATGTGTCGTTGCTGTGACAACTGTGGTGGGGAAATGCATCAAAGACAGAAGAAAAATGCTGACTGTCAGAGGAGCTGTTTTGCAACATTTCTTTTTGTTGCTTCTTTAATAATAAGGCAAGTGTAATAAATAGAACAATATGAAGCTTGGTATAGCACTAATTTTGAAGTGTCATATGACAATGTTATTGTATTAGCCTACAGGTGCAGAAATGATGTTATTAGACTAAGTTATATTATTGCTTATTAAAGAAAATGTGACTGCATTTATAAAAAAGTTGCTACCATTGCTATACACGGGTCATTATGTACTCACTTAAGGGGAATGTAGGTGTGAAACAAAAAAAATTAAACTTGAATTTGGCGAGCGAAGTTTTTGCCAGTCTCAAACTAGCAATTGCAGAATGTTACGTTAGAACACAGGACACAGTATCTTCTGTTCTTATTACCATCCCACAGAGAACTTGGGGTACAGCATACTGTTTGGTTTTTGATAGCGCAGTAGTGGTGAGAAAAGTGATGGTGTGACCTCCTCCAGTATTTGCTGTCCTCCAGATTTTCTTATTAGTCCAAAATAATGGGTTTTCTTCTGGCACTGAGTTATTTAAATCATGCACGCACTCACTGTAAAATCCTGGAGTTTGGAGACATTTTTGGGCTATTAGCATTAAGAGCGTACTGCTGTTCTGTGCTGGGTGTGTAACGGGTGATGGGGGACTGCAATCCAGACTTCTCTTTTCCTTGAAGATGCTTTCAAAATACATTTTGCTTTCGAGTTTTTTATTTTCCTTCATCTTCTTCATATGTTCACCTGCCTACTATCCTTATTCTGTGATTCTATTTAAAAAAAAAAATAAAGTCTTTTGATCTATACTGTGTGACTGTTCAGTCAGGTGGGACTGACTTTGTCACTTCACTGTAATCTAGAATTTTTTTTTTCTTTTTACTACTGTTTGTCAAGACAAATTGAGACCTTGCCTATGCTCAAATGTAGACCATGCTGATATCAGCCATGGAACGTGCTCTTTTCTCCCTTGCATCACTAACAAACATGGCACTTAAGTATTTTGAAGACCAGAAGGCCTTGTAGGTGACAGAGTGCTTCCCTGCCATGATGGTAGGACAAAAGTTCTTCATAATACAGTGGTGCCTCAAAGAAATTAAGTTATTAGATTACCTCTCAGCATGCCAAAACTGAAGGTAGCTCACAGCGCTTGCCAGCTATCTTTACACCACCCTGCAGAATGCTGTGTTGCAGGACATGATGTTCTGATTATAATGGCTGAAGAATGCTGCTTGTCAGCAGAGGAATTAAGAGATAGCCCCCCCTTGTTGGTCTCTAACTTGTGCATTTGCTGCCAGCTGTTCTTGTGATGTTAAACATACCCAGCATCGGCAAATGCTTCTTCCCAGGTCGTGACTGGGAGATCAGTGATTCCTAATAACATGCTTTGCAGGACTAGGGAAACTGCCTCTTTAACTCACCCTTTTTTTCCTTTTGTATAAGGCATCAGTAACATCAGATGCTTACCCTAAGGGAGGGGTTGGCCTGAGCTCTGTCCGCAGGTTTCCACAGGTGGAGATAATCTCATATGACTCCCTGGCTAAGTCTCTAATGCTGTGAGTGCTGTGCAAGGCAAGATAGGACTTTACAGGGCTAATATTACTGACCCCTGCATGCGTGAGTGCTCGGGTCTCCGGTACACCTCAGTACAAAGCAGGATTCTGCTGTCCTTCCTGCTTCATCTTTCATGAGGGAAGAGAATATATCATGCCTGGATCTATTTAAGCCCATGTCAGCTTGCTTACTGCTATGCTGAAACACAGAAGGACAGTCTTGCTGGTAGCCATTGCCCCTACAAAAAAACTGAAGAAAGCCTGAGGTTTACTTAAAACTCTATTTCTTATACTGTACTCAGAATAAGTCTCCTTGTGGATTTATTCTCTAGTTACCATGCAATTTCAGTTTAGGTGGAAGATTTACCTGCAGTTTTCTTCCCCAAACCACACCTCTCAAGGACTGTGCCACAGCTGCATACATAAACTGTGACAATAATCAAAAGAGTTTAGTCCTGTGCAAGTAAAATGCTTATGGCTACTTGCAGACAGAGCCAAAAGAACAAAAACTTGAATGATCTCTGCTAATACAGGGTTACATCAGAATGTGCCATGAAATCACAAAGGTGTTTGGATATAGTTTAATGTTCATGCAGCACTGGGGGCCTCCTTTGGGAGTGTCTCCCAATGCCCTGCCAGGTGACTGGAACGCCATAGACTCCTTCACGAAGTGCTGTGTCGCTTCAGAAGATGCATTTAGCAAGGCACGCATCCATCAGAGTACCCTGAACCCACATCTCTGCCAGTGGAGCTTTGCTTTAAAGGCCCTGCAGTGGAACATACATGCAGACAGCTGCTGGAGGATTTCTGGGGGATGGACTTCAGGATGTACCATCTAAGTGTATGTTCTGCGTCTTCTCTCCCTGTCTCTTGTCGTGCCAGCTGTTCTGGAATTCCCTCAGTCAATGGATCAGAACTTAGAAGAGCAGGAAACATAAACCATTTTATCTTTTTTCCTTTTTTTTTCTTTTTTTTTTTTTTAATTATTTTTTCAGTCCTTGGTATAGAAAGACAGGTCAAAGCTATCTTTCCTTGTCTGGGAAAGACAGGTCAAATGCATGGTAGAGAGTATTAGTAGGGGAAAGATGCCGAACACAGAGCTTGCAGTGGATTGTGTGTGTGTAGGCAACAACTCTTGAAAACTGGTAACATGGGGATGGCTTTTTTATGTGTCGGCAGCAAGCTCACACTGACATATATGTGCTGGTAATGCACATTTTAGAAGATTTCAGCTAGTAGATTTTACTTATGAGGGACATTATTTCTTCTCACTTTTCCTCTGATACAGTGCTCTGGTAATTAGGGTGGTGTTTTAATACTAAGTTTACTGGAATAATATATAAAGGAAACATAAAGGTGACAGATTTTTTTTTTTTATTTAAAAAAAAAAGTTCTACCTAAATGTGCTCTCTGATGGTGAGGCATACGTAGGAAGTATGCTTTCCTCAAGAATAGGTGTAAGAAGCAAGTCAGAAGTCTTGTGACTACATACACAGTTGTTTATCTTAAAATGAATAGGCATTAAGTGTGTCATTTCCAGTAGATGCATTTTGTGTTTGATATATTTCTTTTGGTAGATTGGGTCAGAAATACATGTAGTGGTTTTGGTAATTCACAGGTTTTGTGCAAGACTGTTGTCATACAAGGTAGGATTCTATTGCTAAAGAGCACAGGATGTAGAAATAATCTGTCAAATAGGTAGCTGAGTAGGTTAGATATTCCAGATTTATCATTAAAACAATTATGTGCTTTTCTTCAAAGGTCAATTGAGAGTTCAGGGACAGAGAGCTGCTATTCCATTTTGTTGCCCAGTCATCTGCAAGCTTAGGCAAACACTGTGAAAGAAATGTGATTTCATTAATTCCTCTACATCATAAAGACAGGGAAGGGACATTTCATTTTTAAGAAAGCATACATCGCAATACCGAAGGTAATACCTGGTAACAGAAAGTGTCCTGGCCAGTAGGCAGAAGAATAAATAGTAGGTTTTCTGTCCTTCCCAGAGAGCTTGTGTTATCCCCAGCTTCAAGAAAGAACTTTTTATTGTGTATGAAGCTAGGGAAAGCCAAACCTGAAGGAAGGGAATGATAGTTGGTATCTTGGCAAGTACCTGATGCAGGCTTCATGGAAGGCCTCTTGGCTTTGCAAGATTGGTAATGCGTGTTGTTTGGAGTCTGGGAATCAACGTTATGTGAAAGAATTGGTGAAAAAGTTGGTACACAAATCTCTAGCCCATTGTTTTCCTAAATTCATTAGGTAGCAGTGAGGAAGGTGGCATTTCCCCAGTATGTAAATCTGTTCAGGGTTTCCGTTCTGTGACTTGAAATTTTTCACAAGCACAACTGAAGGAAGAGCTTGGGTTGCCTCCTGCAACTGGATTAGTAACATTTATATCAGTCTGTGAAACCTGGTAAGAAACTGAGCGTGGAATATCTGACTCCTGAAGAGAGAACTGTTTAAACAGTTCTCTAATCTGTTACAGAAAAGGCTTGTCCTTTTTATTCCTGCTTTATGCCTCTCTCCTTTATAGCTGCTTACTGAATGTTGACTCAAGGCTCAGTTATAGAATAAATAGATTTTTCCTTTCCCTATGTTTATTTAGTTACATCCAGAATGTAGGCATAATTGTTCCGGGTGCCTCATCCGCTTAAAGCATTTCTGCTATCTTGTTTCCTCCCACTCCTTCTACTTAGGAGACTGGAGAGAAAAATGATCATGCTCCAGTCTTACAAAGTACTGTTTTGTTAGCTTCCAATTGACCTTTCTGCTCTGTGAGCATAACATTGAAAGGACATAAAAATGCTGGCTGGCCAAAGGACAGGGATGTTATTATAAACTCTGAACCTCAGAGTGGTGTACAAATGTTTACTTTTCCTGATAGCTTGAGATACTTTGTCTTCTAATTAAAAAAAAAAAAAAAAGTTAAACAATTATCATCACAGTAGAGTGAAAAGAAATAATATATTGCATGTGTCCAAAATAAAACCGCTTACTTCTGCTTATGTTGAAAGTTACTCTGTTTCTTGTAATTTTATTCATTCTGAGTTCTCATTCCATGGGTGGTAGCTGATGATAATGGCTGTTCAAGTGTTGGTCATACTGGAAAGAAAACTGGCGTTTGCTGGTAGTTGGTGTCCCTTCATTCATTAGTGACTTCTGGGAAGGTAGTTAATAGGCAGTTCTGAAGACATAGGTGTGAAATTTTGGGTAGAGAAGCAACCTCTTCATGTCAAACTCTGTCATCCTGTTCTGAATTTTTCTAGATATTGAGAAAAATGTTAGTGAAGCAATCCTAATAGACCAGCACCTGTTGTGTATAGTCTTGCCATCTCTCCCTGTATCTGAAATCAGAATTTTCCTACTGAGAGTATTTGTCACAGCAGCGAATATTCTTGTACTTGAGACCAGTTTTACTGGGAGAAGAAGCCTTTATCTTGTGGGGAAAGCTAAAATAGGAAAAGCAAAGTAAAGGTGAGGGTTTAGTTTTGGTTTATTGATAAGAGGAGATGAGCATTATCAAGGTGTTTGCTCCCGTTTTGCCAGGATATGCTTGCCAGGATATCCAAATCATGTTATTCAAGGTACCCGTTTGCTCTCTACCATCTCATTTCTCATTTATGTGGCTGTGTTATGGCTTCCTTTGAACACACATTCTTTGGAGCAACAATTACACTTACCGTATTTTGCCCAGTAGGGAGCCTTCTTTAAAACTATTAGTATTTAGGTCTTCCTGACACCCCAACTCAAGAAGTTTGACAGTCTGGGAGGAATACAGCACCGTTTGTGTTAGTGACTCCCTTCTCCCATCGTTTGGGTGTCCGTAATGGCCTTTCAGGATGCTGCCTCTCTAGTATTGAGCTGCTGCACTACAATGCAAAATAAGAGACTGAACAAGCGTGTGCCATCCAGGCATTCCCTGCAATGCACCCGACTGCAGCCTCTGGGCAGCCTTTGTCTTTGGGGATGTGTCATGCCTGTGTTGAGTGGATCTCTGCTGTCTACCAGTTAAATCTGTGGAAAGTCAGTGCTTAACCCATCAAGTGTGTTTGTAGTCAGTCTGCTTTTGAGGCTGTTATCACTCTGGTGGTTACTCTTGATTTTTCTGGTGCTTGTCTGAAAGGTTAGCTGTTGTGAATGTGAGATGTTTAAAAACAAAAAAGTCACCCTTCTGTTTAAGTCTGTTTTACACCTAAACTAAAAAAAAAGCCCCCAAACTAAGGATAATGAGAGAGCTTTTGAAGCCTCTCCTGGGCCTTTAATTGCCTTTTCGCTTACTGTTTGTGCAGATCTGCCATGCTGTAATTAGAATTTTACAGTGGGGAATGATCAGATAGAAAACGATCAGCAGCAGTGCTGACTGGAAGTCTAGCTCACTTTCCACCTTTTGTTTTACTATCAGGAAACACTTATATATTATTTTAGAATTAATAGAGGCTATTCTTCTGCTTTTAAAAGATCTATGCAATTATGTAAATAAATTGAGCCATTATGAGTAAATGTTGCTGAAGTTTTCAAATGTAAAATATTTGTTTTTACAGTTATTTTATGAGCATTTGCTTGTAGCTGTGTCAAGGTTAACGATAAATGATACTTGTACAAGACTTAGAAATGTTAGGCTCTTTTACAGTTTACCTAGGCTATACCCATTTTCTGACAGTATCAATGCAAATGGATAGGTAGCTGTACATTAGTTACTTCTGAAGTTACTTTGGGTTAACATCGCTTTTTCCCTTCTTTTTTTGAATTAGTAGTAAATATTGGCCCTTGTGGCTAATTCCTCTACTCTGCCTTGTGGTGCATGTGAGAACTTGTAGTAAGAAAAAGAGTGTGTGTAAATTTACGGACACCTTTATTTTGATAATGTTGACTTTTTTGCTGTAACTTTTTGATTCTGTTTTATGTCAGAATGGGCACTTACAGTAATAAATACCTATTTTCTGTATTTTTCGTAGCGTTGGAGTACTCTGTGCATATGCTGCCAACCAGCATTTAACTAACCAAGTCCGAGGAGCAAAGAAACTGGTTAACAGTAATTTTAAAGACCTGAAAACTTTCCTTAACGATACTCCAGCGGTAAAGAATTTTTTGTTTATGGGGAATGGGGATGGGAGGGGAGAGGTGTAAGTAAGAGGTATTGCAGAAAATAATTGTTTCTTTCTATTTGGTACAAATCACACCTGCAGTATTTTGTTTTATTTTTTGTGTGTCGCTCTCATGCAGTAGAATAAATAAGACATTTTCACGTAAATGTTTGGGAGTTACCCTGATGGATCGGCATTCTTTGAGCAGCTTCTGAGCTGGAGTATGCTGCGATGATGCTTGTAGGCCCTTTTCCTCCTACTGAACTAGTGTAGATGGCTAGCAGAAGGTGAATTCCTTGTTGCTCTTTCCTGTTTCTTTGTATTTTTAACTTACTTGTATGTGCTCTGGAAGTGAGATACAATAAATTCCTTTCCAGAAGTATTTTTGACAGGTTTTTCTTTAAACCAGTGTCACACTGTGCCATACTGAACAGGAAAGATTCTCTCCTTTCTACTTTCAACCTTCCCTTAAAGTCCCAAGAGCAGTCCTCTGGATATCTTTTTTTTGCATTGAAATAAGGAAGACTTGTAAACTTTCCCATGTACAAATTTGAATTCTGTATGGATTAGGAGGAAAAAAAGTCCAACAGTCCTATTATCTTGGCCTTCATTAATTTTAATTAAATTAATTAATCTGTTTTACTTGCACGTGACTCATGCATTAGAAATAGGTGGAATTCACACAATTATGTGGGATGCGCGAGTGTGGTAGCATCCCAGTCACAATAACTCTGAGCTCCCATAACCTCCGAGCTGTTTTTCTGCTGACAGGACTGTATGAGAACAGGAGACAACTGGGGGATGCCATTATGGAGAGAAAATTAGAAAGGCAAAAGCCCAGCTTGAGCTCAATCTGGCCACTATTGTAAAAGATAATAAAAAAATGTTTTTACAAATAGATTAGCAGCAAGATGACAAGGTGCTCATGGACATGGTTTAGTGGTGGAATGGCAGTGTTAAGTTAATGGTTGGACTTGATGATCTTAAAGGTCTTTTCCAACCTACATGATTCTGTGATTCTATGAGTCTTCAAAAACTTGATCAATCCAACTATTTGGCTATAAAGCTCTGAAATCCAAACTGATGTCATCAGTATGAGGAGTATAGCATGTAAGAGCATTTGTAAAAAGAAGTCACATGTTACAAGTTCATGTCATAGAAGATTTGCAGACTTTGAGTACTGAGTGATAACACTATTAGTTACTCAGAATCGCCTTTTGTCTGTGACATTGCTGGAGACAAGGCAAAACCTGTAGCCCTGCAAAATTTTAGACCTCAGGTTAGCCTGGGAAGGGAAAACAAACAAAAATATATGTACAGCCTTCTTAGTAAGAAATTCTTGATTGTTTTCTGCTTTTTAGAAAAAGGAGATCTGCCTCATACTTTGTCATTTAATTACATCCACTGCTGTATGATTGATAGGTTGGTTTGAAGGTGGTTTTTTGTCTTTTTTTTTTTTCCTTACTCCACAGAAAGTCTGAGACTGCAAGCCAGATACACTTTGGTCCACATTTGAGTCATGTTTAAAATTGTCAAGCGTGTTAACATTTACATTACTTTAACACACTGGGGTAGGATTCATAATGAATTATTTTAAACATGCAGAATTCAGTGAAGGTTATTGAATGTCTTTTCAAAAATTAGTATAGTGAGATTTCTACTTGGGAAGGTTCTTTGATAGCATTTTGTCCAAACCCAGAATCTGGTGATAACTAATTTTCTGTTTCATATTGTTATGGTGTCTTGCTAGAGCCCAAGTTGTGACTGGGCCAAATCCACCTGGGGGTAAGGAAAACCATTTGCATTAAGACAGAGCCACCAGCTTCTTTCTGCAAGAGAAGCTCTGAGAGGCTGCCCAAATGCAAGCCAGTCTGGTGGGTGAATTGGTTCAAAATTACCACCCCATCAACTTGCCATGTGTCTCTCCGTGAAGGAGGAACTACTGCCACTAGAAAATCAAGTAACGGAGGTGAAGACATGCAAAATCTTGTTGGCCTGACAGACTTGAAGCCTTTGCAAGGCCACAGTTTCTGCTACTTAACACTTCTAAGCTGAATCATTTACCCCAGAGATGTTCCGATTAAGGACACTTCCCAATTAATCTTTTCTTACATGCAGTTCTGCCAAGCAAGGTTTTAAAATACTTAGTTAACTGGAAACAGTAGAGAGCCAGGATTCTGGGGCTTTGCACAAATCTTTTGATTGTTTCAAGTGGCATTTTGACTCGTTATTTAAAAGCATTACTTTTTTTCCAATTATTTTAATGTTTTTTTATCATATTCTTTTCAGCAAATTGACTACTTGGTGAGCCAGTACAACACAACTAAGGATAAAGCACTCTCTGACCTAAATAGTAAGTACTTTGATTTAAAGGGGGTTAGCGATATGTATTTAAAGACTTCAATAAGATGATGTAAATGGCTCATAATGCAAAGAGAAATTTTATTTATGAGAATGTGGTTTTCAAGCAGAAGTGCTGTTCTCAGTGGTAAATGAGACTAAAACTTAAAATTCTTTTCACACAAAATTGGAGCTGGTGTAATGCATATTATTTCCCACAATAAAAGTATTTTATTAAATTGCTTATGCAATAAGTCAGGCAAATATTTTATTTTCCTTTTTATAGTTGAGTAACCACTGATATTTAGTGCTTTTTTAGAATATTATTCCTCGGTTTTTAACTGTGGAGCCAAATGTCGAGGAACAGAGCTACTAGCTGTTTTGATGGTTCCAGGGAGTAGGAAGAGATCTCTGTATTTGTTTATTTTTGTTGTTATACCTTTGTCCTCTACTCAGCCAGAAGTTGAGGTATAAGCTTATCTTCTTTATAAAGCTGCTTAATGTATTTGCCTTTTCAGAATGAGCAGTTGAAGAGCAGGAGATAAAACTGGAAATACAACTGCTGCACTTTCCCCTTCAGCACAGTTACGATACGAGTCATCACCTTTTAAAGCTCTTAGTAAACAAAAACAACCAAACCACTGATTTTTTTTTTTTTTTTAATTTAATCATCACTCTCCAAAACTCATAGTAATAGAAAGGGCTGACCATATTCGGTGCAGATTAGGATTCAAGATTCACTGTTAGCAGGTCTTAATAAACATGTACGGGTCTGCATTTCAGACTGGAGTGAAATACAGAAATACCAAAACCAATTTTAAACAGGATTGCTGGGATCAAACTATGCAACCACTTCTCACGAATTGGCTTATCATGCCCAGAACCTATGCTTCTGCCTAGGTTTAAAACATATTTTAAAGGTAGCTTTCAATGCAGCCAACTTGTGTACCCTCAGGTCAATGTGTCTTGTCTAGATGAGGCTACTAAAGCACATTAAATATGGTTGTGAAAGTAGTAGTAGTAGTAGAGGTCTTCCTACTTAGTTCTAGGCAGGAACACTCTGGTCTAAAAAAAAAAAGTGTGTCACCTTTAAAACTATAATAATAATAAATTGACATCTGCATTTCAAGTACTAGCTTGTAGCTTCGCAGGCACTCCAAACAAAATTTCAAATTAAATATTTATTTGTTCTCAATGCCAATTTAATATGTTAGTTAACAGGAACCTAGCTGGTTCAGTGATGAGAGTGCTCATCAGTAAATAAAGATAGCTTTTATTTTCTGGAAATACCAGAATTAACTGTGTGGCACCTGGGGACAAAAGAATTTCCTTCTAAGTGAATCAATAGTAGCATAAACCGCCAGAGAAATGTAGATGAGTTCAGTTTGGCCACCCTAAGTAAATACTGAAAAGTGTTTTCTGCTTGATAAGAATTCTTATCCCAAGCCAGACATGACAGTGCTGGCAGTAATGGATGCTTCTGTATTATGCGGTATTCCTGTCTCATCAAGAGCAAAAACTCAAAAAGCTGTTTACTGTGATCTGAAAATGGAGGGGACTCAGTAGCTACCTAATGGATATGTTACATTAAGATGCTTCACCAAACTCTGCTCAGCACTTGTCTGTCTTCTTGCTGAAGCTAAGCTTCATTTCTGTTTATGGGCAGTGAGACAGGAGGGTTTGCAGGTGGGGATAGCAGTGGGCAAGCATGAAGCCAGCGCTGTGAGCATCAGTGCTGAATGCACTGCGTGAGGGGGCAGGGACCAGCAGACGTGTGCTTAACACGCTTAAGGGATTTCAACAGAGAAGGCTGGAAGGTCTGGGTTGTGGGTGGTGACCTTGACATTGCCGGATACATGAGGAACAAGAGAAAGGAAAAGAATTCATTTGCTTGTTTCTATTGCACTACAAAAACATAGCGTGTAGTGAAGGAGTATTACACAAAATTCCTGTCCAGATGTTGGACCTCTAAGACAGATTGTGGAGAAAAAAAAATTCTGTTTCCAAAAAAGTATTAAATGCAATGAAATACATATTTTTGGAGTTTGTTGAAATGTTATGTGTCTTTACCTTTATGGTGAAGTGCTAGCAAATATTCTCCATATTTTGATTTACTGCTTTCAGTTATAGGCCTATAGCTAGCTAAAGGAGAACTGTGTTCCTGCGTTACTTCTGTCACTAAGCTCTGACTGCCAGGCCTTAGAGAAATTTTAGTAATATATGTATACTTTGTTACGTAAGAGTCTGACAGCACCTATGCTAAGAGGTAGTTTAAATTGAACTAGTGTATAATGGGCTTTTAATCTCTCCATACTACAGATGTTGGACCTTTGCTTGGAAGTAGAGTTCAAGAACAGCTGGGAAAAGAAGTGCGTCCCGCACTTGATGCGGTTCTGACAATGGCAGGAGGTAAAGATGTATATACTGTTGTATTAATGTTCTGTTGCCATGGTAAGACAGGCATCATCTTTCTAGTGTGCAGCATGGGATGGCTTTATGCAGTACCATGATTCAACTTGCTATTTTTCTACATGCCTTGATGTTTCTTTCAAACTGAGTTTTTTGGATATTTTAAGGTTCATAAATATATTTAAGTAGTAAATCAAGGTGTATGTGCCATTGTTGATACCTAGATTCAGCAGTCACTGAAGACAGATGAAATAGGAATTCCCTGCTCCAGGTGGTTGTCTCTTTCCATTGAATATAAGGGAGACTAGCAAATACTGCTTTGAGAGCTGTCCTTAGGTCTTTGCAGGTTAGTCATCAATAGGTCAGGGAATGAACATGCAATGGCCCCGTCCTATACACTGCCAAGCCTGTTATGAGTGTGCTAATCACCATTTCTTCATTGTATCTTTAAGCTTAGCATTGCTCATGCTTATTACGGTCTCCCTTTAAAGAAAATACTCTATTATTATTTTTTCTATTTAAGGTTTTTTTCAGGAATCAGATACAGCTTATAGAGCAAAGGGAAAGGCATCTGTGAACTTGAGTCACTTTGGTTTTTTTACCCATGAATTCTTTCTCATTCACTCGTCATCATTTTTTTTTGCTTTATTTCTCTTATTTGTCTTGAAGTCAAAGTGGAAAGGGCTATCAAAGGTAAAAAATACAGTAAGAACTTGTGTTGTGTGAAGTGTACTTTATTTTTGTAACCTGTGTCATTTTAGTTGTATCTGTGTGGTTTTTTTGTCTACTAAACACCTGTTCAGTGGTTGATTTTTGGTTCGTTGTTGGGATGAAATCTAAACCCAGATGGTGTTGAATACTCATTAATGCATGCTGATTCAACATGATCTCTTCCCCTTTCATCTTGCAGCTACATAATTTTTAAGTTGGATTATAACCAAAATATTGAAAATACTGTTTGTGGATATGGGCTTTCTTTTAATTTCTAATGACCAAGTGTTAAAGTTCTTATAGAAGTAGTCTGAGCACATTTATTTGTTTGTAGGAATACCTAAGTGAAGTATTTTTCTGTGCAATAAATACGTATTCTGTGCTAGAGGGATTTTCTTGGAGGGAGGCAGGGTTATTTAAATCAGTATTGTTAAGAATATGATAGCATTTACACATGCGTACTTTCAATTCATACCTGTATCTGTAGACTGGTTTCTAACTGAAGCTTTTTAAAAAAAACTTTACATCCTTGCAGCCATTAGAGAAACGAAGGAAGCACTGGAGAATGTGAGTGTCTCTGTAGAAGTTTTGCAGGAGGGAACAGAAAGGCTTCATGCAAACTTGACAGATGTTAAAATGCATCTAAGCAACACCCTCAATGATTCTGCATGCTCTGCCGCTCAGGCTGCCTCAACTTGCAATATCATCAGGAATTCGTTAAATCAACTGAACATCAATGCCAATTTTAGTGGGGTAAGAGTATTTTTCAGACTTTTACAGTGTGATTGCCTTGAATAAGTCCAGTAGTATCTCTGCAACTTAATGGCTCGGTGTGTTGCTGTCACTTGTGAGATAAGTGACCTTCCCTTATTCTGTGTTTCTGGATAATTCCAATCACTGTTTTCCTCTTCTGTGTAGAAGAGGATAAAGTGTGTGTCAAGCAGCTACACTAAAGTGCTGCTATGGGCAGTGAAATAATCTGCCCTCCCAAAAAACCCTGAGGTTAAGCTTTACTTTTGTATAGCAAAGGTTTCAGGAGTGTGCTAGAAAGATTCTACTACAAATTGTCTTTCTGGTTTCTTTACCCTCTTTGAAATGTTTAGTAAATTAGCCAGACTACTACTTTGATGTTACTTAAGAATGCTTTTTGCTTCCTAGTTGCCAGGAGTGAACTCACAGCTTGCCAAGGTCAATGATGTCCTTAAAACAGACCTTTCTAGTCTGGTTCAAAAGGTATGTTTTCACAGGCTTGTAAAATGTTATTAATAAACTGGGATGCTTACGTATCACTTGTCCCTTGGCTTTCTCAAGCAGAATTCTCTTGTTCCTACCTCATCCTGTCTCATGGTGGATATCTCTCCTTATTATTGCATTGTTTGGCCAAGTTTTAATATTTGGAAGTATGAATGTAGTGCTTTATATCCCCAGGGTACTACAGATCAAAAATGTATTGCTAATTGTCTATTTGAAAGAACAATCAGTGAAAAACAAAAAGGCAGAAACGTGGATCTACTAGCGTGCTCTGTATTTTTCTGGTTCAAACTAAAGAAAAAAAATCCACACTCTCCTAATTAGTTATGTTGTGTTCTAGCTGTTTTGAAATATATCTTTCAAAGTCTTTATGTGCATATTTGATATGAAATCTGGGGCAATGGACCTAATGTAATCACTATTAGTATTTTTGCAAGACTATCCACAAAACACCATGATTTTCTCCTAGAAAAAATGGCTTAAAAATCTAGCAATCTGAAAACGTTTGCTAGGAATAGAAGGCATTTTCTGAAGCCAAAGGGTGTGTGTAGGGGGCTCAGACACACACCCCCCACCACCACTTCTGAAGTGAGCAGGCCTGCAGGAAGTAAGACTTTAAGAATCCACTGCAGTGGCTTCTCCTTTGTGTCCAGATGAGCTTCATCCCCACAGTTTAGACCCTTTGTTTTCCCCTTCTCACTGGAGAGAGCATTGCAATGACTTTAGAGGCAGGTGGATTTCATTGTTCGTAACACTGTGTTTCATGTTAAGAAGGTATAGAATTGCAAAGAGGAGGTATTTGACTGGTGCGCAGTAACTGTTCACTTGGCGCATCTTCATATGTGCATTCTCAGTTTTGTATGAGATAGATCTGACAAGCAACAGTACTATAAAAGTTGAGACGATTCTGACTGATGCATGTGTATTTAAATGTAGGGGTTTTTTTTTCAAGGAATATACTGGAGAGCAAACTGAATCTGCAGTATACTTGGGTTCCTATTTTGCTTTGACCTTTTCTAATGTGCAGTGATACAAATGTATTTTTCATAGTATTAACGCATACATTTTAGCATGTGTATACTTTTACTCCTTGTATAAAAGGAAAAAAAATTGCAAGGAATTTGGCAGTGAGAAACTTAATGTAATTTTCCCAACTTTTATTGTTAGGGTTATGCAGCATTTAATGATACTCCAGATTTAGTGGTGAATCAAACCAGGAACATTTTATCAGGTGAGGACAAACTATCTTTTCACTTTGATTGTTTAATGTTGATGTTTTTACATCGCTTACTGATGTTTTTGTTTTCTTTTATTGATGATATATTTTCTGGGCTAAAGCTAAAGATCATTAAAAATGCAAATGTAAAACTTGACATTTCTTTTAATTTGGTGCCAGAAAAAAACATAGAAAGCAAGTGTGTCCTAATGAGGACCCAAAATTAAATCTAAAAATAGACCATATGATATTTTATGGAGGAGATCTATTTGTTAGACTTTCTGCTGCTCAAGTAATGAGAAATCTTGGGATCCCATCTGTACACGGACACTTTATTTGGTTGAAAACCTAATTCTCCTTCACTGATGTGTCTATGATATATTTAGGAGTGTGATGTTAAAAAAACTAAACCTTCCTGCTGCTGTATTAAAATGTAGTGTATGGCGAAGGGGAGGTAAAAATATGCCTTAAGGGTAATTTAAATGTCTGCCTTAATTGTTTTGTTACTTGGCTTTAAACTGTTACTCTTTGACAGTACCTGGATGCTTGACATTTGAATAAAATGTAGTACAGTGTATGTATACTAACTTGTTTTAATTTTTGTTCTTGCATTGTGGACCTGTTCTGCATATAAACAGCTGTTCCTTGTAAGTTTTTCTTTTTTTTTTTTTTTGGGCAAAATGAAACACAGTATATATATACAAGCATAGTATACTGTGCAAACTTGCCTAAAACAAGCCAGTTTCTAAAACTGATGTTATGCTTTTCATAAGGAAATTTAGTGCAGATTTACTCATTTTTGGTATCTGCTGGTATGCATAAACACAGACAGGCCATCTTAATTTCTCTATTTATAAATCATTGGGGTTTTGTTCTTACAAAACCTGAGTTTGAGTAACAAATCCAATGGAAAAAAATAGCTTTACTAGAAAAAATTGCTTTCATCTGTAAACTTTTAAAAGACGAGTATTTTGGTACCTGGTTGAATAGAAGAGTAAACATCACAACGAACAGCCAAAAACTTGTCCAGTTGTTGTTTGCTACCAAACAGCAACCTATAGTTATACATCCTCCTACTTCAAGTATGTTCCAGGTTGAAAGAAGGGGAAGTATAAACAGAAACTACATTTTACAAATAGACTTAGTCTATTGTCTACAATAGTAGACAATAGTCTAATAGTCTACAAAATAGACATTTTACAAATGTATAAGTGAATTAATCATGTTCTCTGTGTATCTAAACTATATATAGGGTATAGGGTAGCATGTTTGTTTGTAATTTGAGTAAAAAAAATTGCTTAATTGATCATTATCTCAAGAGCATTGCTAACTAATTGGAATGAATTTATTTAAGTAGTCTTTTTTAATAAGATTGAAAATAACTAGTATAGATTCTCAATACAGGCAGTCTAATTTCTTTCAGTGTTGTATTCCCAAGGGATGGAGTTTAAATAGATTTTGATCTTCTCCTTAGTAAACTTAGCGGCTAATTGTCTTGCTCAGTGTTACCATTTGCAATATTGCATGAAAAGCAAGATTTAAGCCGGCTAGATAAGAAGTGGCATATTCATTATAATGAAAGGAAAGAAGGTACTCTGGCTCGACATCTACATCTTTCATCATTAAACTGAATGCTAAAAATCAAGTGTGTGTTTTACAATGCCATTGTGTTACTTTGAAGCTCCATGTTTTTGTTGCCTGCTTGTCTCTTCCTCAAACTTGTCTTCATGGCTTGCTTGTTACATGTGGCAAATGGCTTAATAGCATTTTATAATGCATATGTGGAATGTAAACTTCTTCTCTGAATCTGTAACAGCGCAATATGTTTATTCTTTTAGATATCAAAAATGTGCTGGAAACCATTGGTTCAAATATCACTACCTTCACAAAAATGCTCCCTGTTCAGAAGATTTTAGCAGATTTGACGATATATCTTACACAGAGTGAAGCATACGTTCAAGATTATTTTCCAGTAGTGGAACAGTACGATTTCTACAGGTATGTACAGGAAATAAGACAGGAGTGAAGTGCTACCTGTTGTTAATACTTTAATATTTAATGTTCTGTAATGGCGATTAAACTATTAGTGATGAACACAGTGAGACAAAGATGCTATAAGGCAATTGTTTGCTACTGGTGTTTTGGTAAAAGCCAAAGCTGCAGCTAATCAACAACTGGATGCTGTTCCACTACAGAGCAAGAGGTAGTTTCTACTCAGTAGGCCTTCAGGCCTTTTTCAGGAAGGATGAATGTAGGTAGGTGTCAAAGACATGCATAAAGCAATGGATTGCTTCACAATGCCAGGGAGACTTCTTAACTTAGGGCTTGGTTTTGCCGCGTTGCAGGTCAGTTGCGAGAGCACAGGACTGGAGAGGCCTTGAAGCCAATCCCTTTTTATTGCACCCTTTCTACCACAGAGGAGGAATAGCAGGGGATTCTGCTTCATACCTTGTAAAATTTTGCACACCCCTGCTTGTTCCTACCAGTGTAGTACTTGTACTTGTGAATGCATGGGTTGATTGTACCTTGAGAAAAATATTTTTTTCCTATTTGCCACTTGTGCGACTCCTGTAATTGAGAATAATCTCATATTTTGAAGCATAAAGCTTTTCCTTTCATACCATTTAACTTTGTCCTGTTTTAGTCATTTCAGTCCTCAAGCTCATCAAGTTCTCCCTACATTCTGACACTTCAGTTGATCCTATATTGATAATTGCTTCTATCTTTATGTCATCATCAGTTTCACTGCTACAGAATAAGTGTGCTAACGGCTTTAATGCAGTGTTAAATAACAAGTGAGCAGAAGGCTGAACTTCAAGAACCTCACTTATAACCTTACCTTTAGCCCTTTCCTTACCTGGCAGTTTTTGTGGTGAGCCTTAATTTGACAAATTTATCAATATTTTCTTTGAAGCTCAGATTGCATTTAACCAAATAAATATATTGCTTCATTCTACTACATTATGCTTCTGTTAAGCTTGCATTTAGATTCAAAAAAGTGCAGAAATGTATCTCATTTACATGGCGCTTAAATACCCATTCTTGTCAAACCTAACATAGTAGTGCTTGAAGCATGAATGAAACCAACAAGCCTGTAGCTGTCCAGATAATTTTCTGTCCATCCCTTTCTTAATTACAGGCGCCTTATTTATAGTTCTTCGTAAGTATTCTTTTATGAATGTGCATTAATGTTTTTCTTTCTCTTTATTGGCTGTGCATATTTACTATATTTCTTTCTCTGATTCTTCTGGTTCTTCCTTTCTGTTCACAAAAGTACAGGGAGGAGAAGAGGGAACTTAAGAAATATAAGCTGGGAGAAGTAACGATGAAAGGAAAAAGGAAGAGCCGAGAGAGTTAGGAGAGGGTGAAAGGCTAGAATAAGATTTAAACTGTGTGAATAAATGGATGTGCTCCACATATTTGCACAGGTAGAACTGTTACACGAATTAATCACTAAAAATTAAAGTTCAATTCCTATCCAAGATCTTTCTCCTGATAAAGTTCCGTTAACTGCTCCATACATTAAAAGCTTTCCAGACACACGAAGCCTAGGTTTTAATCACCTTAAATACAGTTACTTACAATTACAAGCCTAACACATTGTGTGCAAAAAGTAGTAAGCCTTACAGTAAGAGCAGTTAGGTACTTCAAGACCAATGGCCAGTTCATATTCATAAATTTCTCCACTGCTTCTTGAATAAATTACTGTTTGAGCATCTGCCTCCTCTGAGTCATTGTTTGCTTCACTTGGAGCACTTTGACACTTTGGTCGCAATCTACCTGCAGTAATTGGATTTGGGAACACCTTGTTCCTGTGATGTTTGTTCCCCAGCCCTTCCATAGCAGCTGTATGTAATCCAACAGCGATTATGTTCTGGCCCAAAATACATGCTAGTGTAGGAAAAGCTTTTTTTCATTGCTAACAGTTTGTTGCTCAAACAGAATCAAGGGCGGGCCAGTTGGGAATGTAGTATTGCCTGATGTATTCTGCAGGTCTCCAGTGTGTTCTTTACATGCTAATAACCAAGCACTTTGGCTTTTATTCCTTAGGTGGCTGGGTTGTCTCATTCTGTGCTGCATGGTGGTACTGATTCTGGTCTTTTACTATCTCGGACTGCTATGTGGCACCTGTGGTTATGATAAACATGCTTCTCCAACAACCAGAGGCTGCATCTCCAACACTGGAGGAAACTTTCTTATGGCGTAAGTTTCACTTACTGGTGAAAAATAAAATAAAGGTAACTGTAGGAGGTTATTTTTATTGATTTTGAAGGACAGATGTATAAAAAGAATTTGTTGTCTTACCTGTGTATATGCTCTGGAAGGAAAAAAAAAAGGGGGGGGAAAAAAAAAAGGAAAAAAGAAAAAAAAGAAAGAACAAAAATTAGTATTAATCTATGCATTTCCACTGAGGCACTTGGGGATTTTGGGTTTCTGTTTTATTGAGGACCACAGCTGAAGGATACAACCTCTGAATCTACTGTTTTAAGGCAAGTGCTGTAGCTAATGATTTTCTATGTAAGCCCATTTGGAAACTGCAAAAACTGGGAACAGATAATTGGAAATATGAAGGAATTTGTGGCTTTTTAGTACACTTGAGCACTTGCTCAAAATTAAAATAAGCCATATGAGGAGACAAGAAACACTTGACATTCTCAGAGCACTTCAGGAGGTTTGGGGTTGCTCTTGGAAGTTCCCGGTAGTGATTTAATGTCATTTCTGTTGGGTGCAAGAGAAGATTGCATCTGAAATCTGTCTAAAACTCTTTTTAGAGCACAAGGCTAGAGTTGAATTTAAAAAAGAAAATGTATGCTTTTGTGGCTTTTGCTTAACTGTTAAAAATGTTTGCGCACCCAATGCAAATGTGGGCGTTTTAGATGCACTTTAGCTGAAGACTTTACAGGGCTGAGATGTGTAAGATGTTTCAGAGTGCAAGAATGTATCTGGAAAACAGAAGTATTTCAACCACCTACCAGTTTTTAGTTCTCTGTTATAGTTGCTAACTGTTGACTTCACTGTTGCCTGAAGTATATCTACTTTGTTCTTAAAAAGCAAATACTTACTCAACTTTTTTTTTTTTTTTCAGTGGTGTTGGATTCAGTTTTCTTTTCTCCTGGGTGCTGATGATTGTGGTGGTGCTCACTTTTGTCACAGGTGGAAATGTAGAAAAACTGGTCTGTGAGCCCTTTGAAGATAAAACCTTATTCAAGGTGAAGTTATTCAAGTTATTAAACAATGAATAGAAACCCCATGAGTCCCAATGGTCTTGTCACTTTGTATGACACACTATTTTTTATGGGACGCTTCAAGTGAGTTTGGATCTGGTTTTACTTTCCCCTCACATGCCAAGTAGAGACATTCATCCTTTTTTGGTTTAATTTGCTTTGCAGTGTAAATACTGCACGCCTGTCTTCCTTTGGAGGTGAATTTTTCTGTGATTCATCATTTCTTGGTGGTGTGGAGCATTGGTATTCACTTTCTGCACCAGAGAGGTTGAATTTGCTGGTTTGATTGTATTTCCATTAGTGGGGGATAAGCTTAAATGTGGGTATGTGTCAAAAGGTCGCATATGAATGAATTAATGAATTGAAAACTCTGAATTATAGTAACATTACTGAATTTTGTCTTCTAGGTTTTGGATACTCCCTACTTACTAAATCAGCATTGGAAAAACTATCTTTCTGGCATCCTGTTTAAAAATCCGAATATTAACTTGACTTTTGAAAAAGTGTACAGGTATTAAAGTTATAGTCAAGATCTAATTCAATTTATACATACTGTTTTTGTGGTATCTTCCATGCTTTATATTTCAAGCACAGGCAGAAATCATGTATGTTCTAGAAGACATTCTGATTTTTAGTGAATCACTAGCAAAACCAATTTTCTCCTATATGAGATTTATAAGATACAGCCTATTGTTATTGTATAGCGATACTAGTTGAACTCTTTGAAAAAATACTTTGCATCTTTGAGACCAGCAGAAATTGTTAGTTACTTGCTTTCTTATAGACTAAGCTTCAAAAAAAATAGAACTTTTTTTTTTAAATGGCTGATTTTCTTAGAATATGAAACCATTATTAATCATTCTCTTAAACACTTGGTCCTCAAGGTGGTTTTTAGGGTGATGTATGTATGTTTATTTTTATAGTGATTGCAAAGAAAACAAAGGAATTTATACTTCCCTTCACCTAGAACACCTGTTCAATATTGATGAATTTCTAAATATTAGCATGGTAAGTAAAGAAAGTATGAGTGAGTTCATGATTATTATTTTTGAAGGCTGGAGAAGTGTTTGCTCGTAAACACAGTGCAACATGTCTGGGGTTTATGGGATTTTTGTTTTTGTATACATTACGTCCTGCAAGGAGGCAAGAACTGTCCTAGCCAGTTTGAAAGAAAGAAATCCATTTACAAATTAAATGTTCTTTATCACTCTCTGGGAGCCATGGAAGGTTTTCTAATGTGTTTTTTTTTTAATGGGTGCTGATAATAATGTTGGTTTTAATTTTGAAACTTGCATAGAAGGTTCAACTCTAGCAGTTTCCAAAGGCTGCTTACAGCGTTTAATGAGTCTTGTTCTTTATATAAATGCCTTGTTTTGGTGTGTTCTCTTCTGATTCCAGTCGGATTTATGTTGATCCAGGATATGATATGTTGTGCTTCTAAGAATGGTTCTGATTTTGGTGGAGAAGGGGTTGGGATAAAATAAAATCTTTCCACTTAAGCTGTAATAATACATGCCTGCACTGTTATCACATGACTTGTACTAATTTTGGGGTTGCCTATAATACTGATCTTCATTACAGCAAACCCCTAGGGGGACCCGTGTTCTGCTCTAGCAGGCACTGTACCCACACTTAATAGATACAGTCCCCACCTCAAATATTATACAATTAAAAAGAACAGGGAAGATTCACTAAGAGGGAAAATTATTCTGAGTTTCCACAACAGACTAATGGTGGAGGCTGGGAAGGAAGTCAGGTTTCCAGATTCTTCATCTATTGCTCTGTGGCCTGTGCAGGACAGGTAACATTTTAGATTTGGGTGCAGTGCAAGAAGACTTGAGGTAACAACAAGAAAGTCATCTTTAGTCACCACTAACATATTTAGAGGAGTCTTGCCCAGTCCTGTGGCCAATACAGCAGACAGTGTCTGTCCTGGCCACAGCTGAAATGCTGAATTCTCTAGGTTACCATGATTAGGGCCAGGGGTAGAACTTAAAATTTTTCAGGACAACATTTCCTGGAGGGGAAAGTGAATTCTGATTCTCTTGAATCCCTCTTAGGAGGGATTAACATCTATTCAGAGAAGCCTGCTTAAAATATAATGGAAGGCAACTAATTCATTGGTATGAAAGATGCATAGGTGGCTCAGAACATGGCATGGTTGGACTGTGTGGATACTGCAGGGAAGGGAAGAACATTACCTGGTGGATTCTGTCAAAGTTAATTAAATGAAACTGGTGCAAGCAAAAATCAATGTGTGCTTCTTCAATGAAGTGATGAGTCAGCAAAAGCAAGATGCTTGGAGGGGGGAGAGCTATAGAGAAATATGCACTGGGTGCAAACTACTGTTGTGCTTTATTTTGTTTCCCTTTCAGTATACCGAAGATGTAGCGCTTAAAATTGAACATATTCAGATAAACCTCAGCAAAATCATTCTGCTGGATGAAATTGGGAAGGAGAATCTTCTGAATTTCAGCTCTTCAGGAATAGAAGGGATAAACTTTGCAGCATATTTGACAGAGGTGAGACTGTGGTAAACTAGAGACGAGACTGGGGCAAAGCATAAAATGAAATATTCCTTTAACAGTGGGCAAGATGGAGAAAAATCTGCTTTTATGTGAAAGGGCACGTTTTGAAAAAAATCACAAAACTCTGAGCAAAAGCACTTCAGAGGTTAAGGTCAATAAACATTTAAAGAAATAAAAAGTAGGTGATGTGGTTAAGTGGAAACTGGTTTCAGATCAACAAAAGTGTTACCAAGGTTGATCTTCTGTCATTTGCTAATGACTTAGAAGCAAGAGCAGACCAGCTGGTAAGTTTAATTCACTAATACAATAATACATAAAATGTATTGTATATACACTATGTAAGTATAAATTACACAGACAAGTATTTAGACTTCCTATGGAAGAATTCTTGTACTTAAACACAGTATGCATTGTCACATAGGCAAAAAAATTCAAGAACAATGTTACATGTATGCTGTATTTTATATACTGCTAAATATTGATTTTTATATGCTAACTGTTGTACAATTTCTGCTTTGGAAGTGTAATTTCTTAAATTCTACTGTTCGCTTAAGAAATGAGGGGAATACTCTGAGTATTTCCTGTTTACGTTTTAGGGTCCCAGTTGGAAGAAAAATTGGTTAGATCATGATGGAAAAGATGATTTGAATTAATTTGCTTTCAGTTAGTGAGCAGAAGATTTTGCAATTAGCAATAAAATTAATATTGTGGCAGTTCATAAGGGCTCTAATGAGAACCGGGGCTCTGCTGTGGAGGGAGAATGCACAAAAGAGATCCTGTCTGCTCTGAAGGGCTTTTTGAATGCAGACACATGGACAATGATCAGAGGGTATAGCTACAACATTGCCCACCAATGAATCTGCAGAATGACACAGCTGTGTTAACAGATAGTGAATATTCAGTTGGTATGTTTGTATGCATGTCAAGGTCACTTTATTTTCAAAATTAGAGTCACAGTTTGGACGCTAGATTGGACACTGGCCCAAGATTCATTCCTGCATTGCTATGTGGGAGAAAGAGTTATGCTGCACACGTACTACAATCGCTTCGATCACTAAGGGACATAAACAGCAGAGTGAGACCATGCTGTTTGGATGCTATTTATTATTTAGTGTAATCTATGAAATGTCTAAAAACTAAAAACCAACAAAAAAAAAAAAAGAGCAACAAACCAAACACCCCCCACTCCCTCCCAAAACAATATGACGTATTACAAAAGTTAGATTGTTTCAAAATCAATACTGGTTTCCAAGGATATTTTATAATCTCACTTTGTTATTAGTGATAGCTCTTAAAGTTTACAAGAGCAATCAATTAAAAAATAAACTAAAAAATTCTGGCTTGTCAGAGGAAGCATCCTGAACCTCCTCAGTGACCACAGCTGACCGCTTAAGTGAACACTTCGCAAGAAGCAACCACGTCTCTGAGCATTGGGGTCTGCCATCATTACACTTCCAAAACGGAGTTAGCAGTGTGTATTTAGTGTATATTCAGGGAGCCAAGTGATTTTGCCACCAAAAGGAAATGGAAAAGAAATGTATTTGTGCGAGTAAAATAAAATTTTACAGTATTTTGCAACAAGTATGAGCTCTATACAGGCATTTGGACTTGAAAATCAGGGCACAAACTCCTGTCTTCTGACTGAAAGGCGGGAGCTGCAAAAATGAAAAATACCCTTCACAGACACCTTTCCAAGTCTCTGGCGAAAATATTTAAACTTCTGTGTCCCTCAGAAGGCAGAGAGTGCCTCAGGCAGATATCCACAGTGCCCAAAACAAAAGCAAGTACCCATGACTGGGAAATGCTCATCCCAGCCGGGGTGCTGTGCTGCAGGGTTCTTGTGATGAAGTCTGGCTTATGGCGAGTGCGAGGGGAATGTGCTCGCTCGTCTGTATTTAAAATGACTTAGTGCACCATGTGAAAATTCTCTTCAGTTAAATCTGTGCTGATAATGTTATAGCCAGAAAAGCAGTATAATATATCTGTTTTGCTTGCTGAGGTTTGAATTATTATTATGGTGATTTTTTCCCCTCCTCATGTTGAGGAATTAAATGTGCCATATCCCATTGTTAGCGTCAGCTGTTCTGCAGTGGATGAGTAGAATGTGCAACTTTCATTGTTTTTTGCTTTGTCGAAAAGCTTTGAGACTACTGAACAATACTGCATAATTGTGTATTTTGCAGCCAAAAGGAGCACTGGAAAACGCCTTAAAAGGACACGCAAACAACATTCGAATGATTCATAACCAGCAAGTCGTTCCGCTAGAGCAAGCTATGGTAAAATATTAAAGCAATATTAAAATATATTTGTAGAAAATATGAATCTCTAAATCTCTTAAATACAGTTTAGAAAGCTGGACTTTTGCTATTATGTAAGCACAGACTGTATTTGCATTGTGTCACTGAAGAGTAGTCTCGTTAAAGTCTGTGTTTAATAGTTTTCCTACTTTATAATACTGCTACTTTATAATACTGTCTAAAATCATGAACAACTTCTTCCCCATTTTTTCTGTATCTGTGAAATATATGAATAAAAGAGGAAGCAGGGGAGAACTTTACCTTACTTTTACCTTTCTAACCCTAAATCACTCCTTTTTTTGCTTACCATTTGTTTTCAGTAATAAAAGCAGTTATCACTTTCACACTGTATTTCTTTGAGTAGCAATCACCAAACAGCATTGGAATTGGGAACACCTGACAGTGGTATTCAGAGCCAAAGAAGGATCTTTTTTATTGATGCTATAAAAGATGTGAAAAGGCCTGATTTTGCCAGGCACTGATTTTGTATGGTATCAAGCTGTGAATCCCATACATGCTAGGTGTTGCTTTTTCCTCTACATAACATGAAGGCTTTTAGTTTATCCTAGCATCTGATACAGTATTTCTGCCCCTATCAAAGCCCTCTTGTAGAAAAGCATTAGGTCTTCTGTTCCACTCTGATTCTATGCTGTTCTTTCCTAATTAACTCCTAATTATTCTCATCTCTTTTTCCTTTTACAAAACTGACTGTCAAGAAATATGTTAAAGCTAGGGTAAGTGCTTTTTCCCTTCTGAAATTGCACAATATAGAATTCTCTGGACACTTGGTTCTGATTTTAACTGTTCCCTTTTCCCTCCAAATAAATCTTACTCAGTTTATTGCTACTAACTTTAGTTAAATCTGAAGTCTTCCAGTACACAATTCATAACTACTTAGTGCTGTCGGTGAAATACTGATTCAGTGATTAAAACCACAATGTATTAGTTTTAATGCAACCATTGTTACTATATATAATGTGATATGTTGTATTAGAAAAAAAAAATCTATAAAAGATCAAAACATGCATATAAGGTTAAAACAGGTGGGCTCTTACCTGTAGTAATGACTTGAATTTTTTCCCTCTTCCTTTCTAATAGAGCACTTTAAATCAGAGCATTAGGTTACTGAAGAGGACGTCATCTGAACTTACAGTAAGCTTTTCTTTCTGGCAACAGGAACATTTTAATGTTTTTTAAATGTATCTGTCACATATGCAGGGCATATATTTTCAGTACAGCTTTTTCTATTTCTAGCTGTTCCATTATTGGAAGAGATTGTAATGCATTGAGGTAGTAACAGGGGTTTAGACACCTCTTCTGCACAGCTTTTTCTACCCTGGCTTTTCCTTCCTTATAGAGGAGAAAAAAAGAAAAAAAAAAGAAAAAAAAAAAAAGAATCTTTGAGATATTTCTTTGAAGTATGAATTGTAAACTTAATTGTCACGTGGTTAAAATAGACTTCAGTGCAGTTCCATATATTGTGTTTTTCATGTTCCTAAAAATGTAGTTGTTTTTTCTAGAAACAAAACGCAAAAATGCAACTGAGAAAAGAGAGCTTTGTGATTCACTTCCTTAAGCCACCTCTTGTCCAACATCCAGCTCGCACCAGGGCCTGTTCCTTTAACATTGTACTCGTTACCTTCCTGCTTCTGCAGCATCAGCCTGGCTGTGGGAACCTGGATCTGTACAGAGGCTTCCCCAGGGCAGCCCACCTTTTAAGTAGCAGCTAGTGCCTGCCCCACAATGAGACCAGCTGCCTTCACACTTTGCCAGGCTCAGGAGAATGAGCAAACAGGATGGTTACCTTCCTGGCAGCAAAGCTTTCTGTCCCCACCAGGCTGCCTTGGCTCTCGTAGCAAGAATCCAGCCACACTAGCTAGCACTTAAGAATCATAGTCACAACAGCTTGTTGGGCCATACCTATCTCAGTTCTTCCCATTAAGGTTTTCACCCATCCACAGCAGCAGACCAGCTAGATTTCTTTTAGAATCTGTGATTTGAACCTGGATGGGGAGGTAAGAAGCCATGAAATAAGGTGTTGATATGAAAACGATGATGTTCAGCCCGTAAGTATATTTTAGAAACATCTCTACAGTTTCAGGCTGTATGTATGTTATCATTTGTGCGTGTTCTTTGAGACGCTTTTTGAGGTTATACATACATTGAAGAAGTGTCTCAATAGTTTTTGATATTGATTAGCAGCATATTCTAGCTGTATAGAATCATACTCTAGTAATCAAGAGTTGTGATAGCATATGGCCCGGCCCACTGTTTTCTTCCTGTGCACTGTATGTCTAGTCGTGTACATACATACACTGATGAAAGTGTTTCTACACTTAAGGAAAGGAAGGAGAGTGGAAGAGAAAGCTGATCTAGTGTATAAATGAGTTACATAGGTTCCAGCAAAAGATACTGTTCATAATCACTGATACCTTCCTTTTTTAGTAGTGAGAGAATTTTGTCAGATGATCATGAATCCTTAGGCAGGCTCATGTTCTGTTTGGAATCTCATGTTTTGTCAGGTTTTGACAGGGCAGTGATGCTGGTTTATCAAGAGAATAGGTTCCTGACAATGGCTGTAAAGCCATTATAACAGGCTGAAAGGGATTTATTTATATGAAATGCCATCTCTTCCTCTCCAGGTTAAGGTGAAAAATGTCATTAGTGCTGTTAATGCTGCCCAGCTTCTCATAAATAACAACGCTTCTCTAGTTATTGTCCAGGTAAGCTTTATTTGATTAAAGTACATTAATTTCTGATGTCATGGATATAGAGGTTCACTTACTTCTGTTCACTTACTTCTGTCTGTTCCTAGGAGACAAAGAAGTACATGGATACCATAGTTGGCTACTTTGAGCAATACATTGAGTGGGTCAAGGAGTCGGTAAGTTGCATTTACTTCATTGAGAAAAGCTGCATTTAAAAAAAAATTAAAATGCTAAATAATAATAATAAAAATGTTACTTTGGTAGTATGGTTTATAGTTTAAGTTTGTAAGATATTTGTACTTACTGTGAAGGGGAAAATTTGTCTTCTATAAATAGTTTTGTTGTGTTCGAAGTAGAATAGAAGTGATGAATTGTGTTGATTGGAATAAAATGCATATTTAACAGAGTATCATTTTTCCAGGGCTAGCCTGGAATCTACCATTTGTGCTAATATTGCATGGAGTCTGACCGTGCTTAGTTCAGATCAATGTCATTAGCATCTTGTTTTATTTTTCTTTCTTCAGCTGCAGCCTCTGAGAAAGTAAGCTGATGTTTTAAAGATGTGCATGTTCAGTTGGTAGCATATCCCACTGGAATTTATTTTGAATTTGGATAGGGTGAGAGATAATTTAGTAAACAGTATTTGTAACTGTAAGAAAGTTGTGAGATTCTTACTTTATTCTGTTGGATACTTCAAACTGTATCTTTTTTTTAATCTGTCTTTCAGATTGCCATGGAGGTAGCAGCATGCAAGCCTATTGCCAATGTGATAGATACAGCAGTAGATATTTTTTTATGCAGCTATATAACTGATTCTGTGGTAAGAAATATTTTTTGTTACTCAGAATTGGGGCATCAAGTGGGAAATTCTTTGAACATAAATCTGCATTCAATTATTCTGGCTAGACTATTCTGAAGTATGATAATAAAGTATCACATCCAAAGTTATGCAAGGAAAAAATGTTCTGAACTGGATCAAGTCCAAAGCCAAACCAGTGCTGGACTTGTTTTAGATTCCCGTTTAATTCATGCTTCTATTAGCAAGAATTCTGTAAAATTAACTGTTCTTACTACATTTCTTCCAACTTGGATTTCAAAGTAAATACAGTGCTACTGGTTTGGAATAAAAATTCTGGAAACAGTGGGTTTCAGTTTGATTGCTTGATTCTGAATCACCTTGAAATGGAAAAACATAAAGATCTGAAGTTTCAGCTGTAATCATTTCTAAGTTAAAGGGAAGGGGCAAGGGCAGGAAGTGAGTGAGAAACACCAAGGAAAAACTTTCTCAAGGATCTTTCCTGGAATCTAGAAAACCCCAGTGAGGTTTTATCACTCGAGTTGTAGCAGAGAGATCTTGATTCATTCCTATACAGTGGAACTGTACTCTTTCATCTTGCCAAAAGAACTTGAAAAGAGGACAGTATGCATTAAAAATAGAATAAGAAACCACATTCCTGGAAACCACCTAAAACTTCTCTAACTAAAAAAACCTAAATAATAGCTTTATGGCACTTTTAGCCAGGTTCTAATCATACCAACAGTAAATGCATGCAATCAGTCAAAGCCAAAGCACTCTAACCTTGATAATGCTTAACCATGAAATGCTTAACCTTGATAATGCTTAAACACGAAAGCCTAACCTACCAGAATCATGTTGTACTCATTTATTATCTCATATGTTACAGAGCTTCTGCTCTTCTTTGTGTAGCCACTAACCATCTGGTGGGAGATGGACCACAATTTTCCTGATGATAGAACTTAGCTGAGTCACTTAAGTCAAAATGCCTCCAGCCAATACAAATCAAATTTGAAAAAAATCATCATTTTAACATCTGGTGATAACTCAGTTCAACTGTATGATAATGGAATTAGTTACACAAACAGGCTGCAACTAGCAAGTTAAAAAGTACCTTGAGAAAGTGCTGGAAACTCAGATTTTGACAAGAACTGTAAGACAGACAAATACTTTAAAATATCAAGGAAGGAAAAAGAAATAACGTAGCTCATAAATTCATGCTGAGACCCAAAATTACTTTCTAGCCCAAGGCTGACTATGTTGAAATAACTTCTTAGGGCACTATGGCTGTGTAGTTTTGAGCAACTTCAGACGTATTCCTGTTTGGTTACATTTGTAAGACAGTGGTGTTCTTACTTTGGTTCACATTGACAATGGAGAATGCTTAACGTGCCCTGTTCCACACTAGTATAAGGAGCCTCAGATAGTCTACAAGACCAGTGCCACTGATTTCTGCTGTGTTCTTCCAGTAGCAATGCTTAGAATATCAAGCAAGGTTTCAGTACTTTCCTGATAAATTTTCTCTGTGATCTTTTTTCCTGGATTTTGCTTTGTTTCAGAATACCTTCTGGTTTGGTTTGGGAGGCTCTTCAATATTTTTAATTCCTGCCATAATTTTTGCTGTGAAACTCTCCAAATACTATCGTAGAATGGATACAGAGGATGTATATGATGAGTAAGTATATACTCCTAAGTAAGCTAAATGACAAATGGATTGAAATGGTTTTTTTTCTAGTGTCTCCCATGAAGGTGCTATAATCCTTAAACTTCGTGTGCTGTCAGATTCGAACTGCATGTTCTTGTGAAATACTGCAGGTTTGGGTTGGTGCTTGCTAAGACCTTCATGTGGGTGGGCTTTGATTGCCTTGACTTGCCATGGTTCTGTGCAGATACTGCCAGCTCTGACTTTGAGAAACTTATCTCAGAATGAGGTCTTCAGAGCTTTGTGTACAGCATTTATATAAGTATCTTCCAAATGTGCAAGTGATTTAGCTTTGCTTAGTAACCTGTTAAGGTGAATTATGCCTGCTTTGTAATCTCCTTGAATTAATTATTTGCTTTCTTACTCTCTTAGTTATTCCTAACCAGTCTTTCCTTTTTCAATTGCAGTTCCTCTGTCTCAGGGACTTGGCATTTTACTTTATGATAACTGTTCTTACATATTTTCCCATCATTTATGTTTTTACTGTTTTCTTTTCTATTCTTCGTTTTGCTCATTGTTCAGTTAGCCTGTGCACTGCATTTCTCAAATTTCACACTGGTCATTTTTCATTACACATTCACAAGTCAGGAGAGCAGAAACAGGCACGTACAGCTATAATTACTCACTTCTTAGTGTCTAGTTAATTACTCCTCCTTTTCTCTGTTTTTTTAGTGTCGAAACTATACCCATGAAAACGTAAGACATTTTTTCTGGTATTTGTTAAAATTATTCTATTCAGGTGGGAGGGTTTATATTTTTATGTAACGTGTTACTTCAAAAGAGGTAACATGTTCTGTTTCACCAGACTTTATATTAGAGTATCCAACTCAGCAAGAATAGCAAAATAATTAGTTAATTTTTGGAGAATATAAATATAAAAATATTAAAAATGTAAAATTATAATTATGCCATAACTCCTGAATGTTACAAAGGAAAAGTTATCTTCTATTGTACAGACACAGTTTATCTTTGCATATAATACCATCATCCATGTACGTCTTAGAAGCCATACTGTACATAGTGCATCTTATAGTTAACATGGTCTTTCTTGGTGTATTTATTTTATTACAGTACAGAAAATGGTAATAATGGTTATCATAAAGAGCATTTATATGGTACACACAATCCTGTTTTTACAAGGTAAACCAAGTCTGAAACTGCATGCCTTCATGTGTTTGTACTTAATCTACTATATTAATCACCTATCCAATTTTCTGCACGTTTCACAGTGAATCACTTAATTCTCTATTTATGGGGGTTTTTTTGCATGATTACTGACTATAGCAGATGCTGTATGATTTATATTTCTCAAATATTCCTTATATAACAGTAGATATTGTAATAATTTCCAGCAACTTAACAAAGAAATTGCCTAAATTTGATCTTAAAAATCTAGGTAATTAAGTATTTATCTAGTGCAGTGGGTGGTCCTAAATTGTTAAACATATTAAAATACTCTGATAGCAGTTGAAAGTGATAGGATGGGATGCATTCTTACTCCTGAGTTGTTTTACTTTTTAGATGGTGAGGAGAAGAGCTTTTCCGGTGCAAAAGGCAGGTGATCCTGCAGAAAATATGAACAGAGAAAATGGGTGTTTCTGCATGGGTAGAAATAGTGTAACATCACAAAACAAGAAATTTGAGTTACGTTTAAAAAGGAGGAGATTTGGGTTCTTTTCTCTCTCTACAACTTTTGTGCTGTAAAACCTTAGCTAGTTGTGAGACTTTCAGTTTCTGTAGGGATAACATAGGATGTCACACAACTTCAGTATTTGGGTTTCCAAAATATCTGAGTTCCTTAAGGATCTAATTTATGATTGAAATCTGTAGCTCACTGTGCCTTAACTTGCAACTGCATGACTGAAAGTATAGGTTGATTATTGGCAGAAGTAAGGTATCACCATTCTTTCAGTAATGAGTAAATATCAAGAGAGCTCAAAGTTTGGAAGTCTTGCTGGATTTTATGGCTGTGTCAGTTGTCTATTATTGTTTATTAGAACAGTATTTTACAGTAATTGTTTACTGGCCAAATCTTGATTCCACATTTCCTTCTAAAGGAAGTATTTATCTATAACTATGTTTTTAGTGATATTTATGATCACAGTTGTCACGGTCTGTACTGCAACTTAGTGGCACTCCCTTAATTAACCTACACGGTGTTTAATTCAAAAGTACTCTCCATTGGCATATCTAAGGACTTTCAATATTTTACATAAGAGGAAACTAATAATTGCTCAGGCCTTAGAAGTCCCTTTCAGATCTTTGAATCTTTAATATGAATGTTAATACTCTTGAGGTTCATAGCATGTTTTCTGTGATACTTCAGTGATTGATGAATAGTTTAGTACAGTGTTCCTGAATAAGCTAAAAATTACTAACATAAAATCTTTTGAACAAAGGCCCACTAGTTCAGTCCCGACTTCCCCTTCCTAAATTTTAAGTTACTCAAAATGGGCTTCCATAATAAAATGTGAGGATTCAGTTTGAAGCAATGCTGTCTTCTGGTGTGCTGAGATAATTTGAAAAACTGCTAATTATACGAGATACAGTCTGGGATTCCCATAGTAATAGACTCTTGATTTTTGTTTTCATTTCAGCAAACTCTTAGCTTTTATGCTATCCTTGCTTTTTTTTTGTTTCCTACAAATTATTTTGGGAGATACTTTGAGAGATAGGACTTGGAGTAGATCTCCATACACCTGTGCTTCTGCAGGTGTAAAGAATCCCATAGGTTGGGGGGTTTTTTGTCCCTCAAAATCAGCTGGATCATTTTGCTGGAAAGAGATGCAAATATATTTCTTTATAAATGTAACATATGTAAATACAAGTATGAGATCTATATATAGGTATATTTATATAGATATCTCACACAGGTGTTTTTATATACATGTCGAAGATACAAATAACCTCAAATGCAGCCACCATTTTTGTGAGAGCAAAATTGGAGGCTGGATTAAGCTCTCAAAGGAGTGGTGTTGAATAGGTAATCCAAGCATTTCTTTCGATCATGAAACAAAGATAACCAGAAAGGTTGGTGGAGAAAAGCATGGATCTATTTCTTCTTGTTTGAAAAATTCTTGATTAAATGGGTAAAAATTTGAGAACAGTTTGTGCCAGTCTCACCGTAGTTAGACACGGTATTTCTGTTCCATTTGTGGGCAAAAGAAAATTATGGGTTTGGTTTGTGTTTTTTCTTGTATAGCTCTGTGGAACAGTGGTAACACACACTGGAGACCTTTAAGGGGTGAGTAATAAGCTTTTAAAGTCAATTCTAGGTCTATTAGTACTTCACTGGTTTTAAGAAGGCTGCTCTGCTTTCTGTAACATGAGTGCCGTAAGGTTTAAAAATAAGAAGTAAAACAATTATTGAACCATATTGATGTTCATATGAAAATCTATGCCTTCATTCTGCTTAAATTACCTTGTAATTCTGTCTTCATCAAATCTTCCTGAATTGTTTTTGTGATTATTTCCAGGCTATATAAATGAGACTCAAGATTCTTCTACGGAATTATATGATTATTCTTCCAAGGGTGTTGGCATTTGCATTCCTCTTCCAAATCCTGAGCCACTCATTTTATGTCACCCGTACTGTAAATCCCAAATGTACTATTGAATGTTATGCCATAAACTACTGTACAGAATATTTTGTGATCAGGGCACTGCCTCTCAAATACCACTGTTCAAGGCTTGAATTAAAATGGTTTTTGTTTTTTACTTTTTTACACTGGGCTTTCTACCTTACATCACAGTATATAAATTAATTAGATTAACAGCCTTTGCCTAGCAATCCTCTGAAAATTGGTCAAGTTCTTATCTTAAATTGTGGATTTGTGTTAAATACAGTACACACACGTTTACATAAAAATACATTTTGTATACAGAGATGTTTGTATATACATTTTTCTTAAAACTTACAAGTGTTTAGTTAAGACTTTAATATAGTGTAATACTCTTCACAAATGAATTTACCAGCATGATCAGTGTTGCTATTTGGTGCTCTTGAATGACCACTTTGGACTAAATTTGAAGTGTAGTGGGATCCAGTGTCTCCTTGTGTCTCTGAAAAGTTCAGTTGCAGTTTTGCTTTCTCCCTCTTTTTTTAATTATTTAATATCTAGTGGTTTTTGCAGTATAGACCTAAAAGGGACTTTTTGGAGAAGTTTGTTTTGAAACTCTTTGGGTGGGAGGGTTGGGAGTGTGCGTGATGCATAATATAGTGAAAAAGCTAAGCTTTTCTAGAGTTCAGTAGTACTCAAAAAGAGCATGAAAGATGACATACGTTGGTGATTTTTAGAATGCTTTGCTTTCTCTGTCTCCCTTTCCCTCATTCACACTCACTTCTGTAATGTCCGTAATAGTATCACTGTTAAGCTGTGGCTTTTTCATGGGCAGTGATACTATTTTTGCTAAATAATTTCAAAATAAGATTTCCAATATTGAAATTAAAATGTGTTTAGCAACTGGAGGTAATGTTTGTACTACTAGAGTTATTGCCTTGAATTTAGGCATACAGTTCCATTGCTGAATTACCTAACAGCAGAACTCAACAAGGGCAAAAATATCTATGTTCCTAATGTAAAACATTTCAGCGGGTAAAGTAATTGGGTATATTGGTCTAAAATAGTGTCTCTTCATATGTCAGTGTTGTTAACTTTGTTTCCAACAAGGTCTGTTGGCTTGAAGTAGGCATAATCCTATAAAGCAGTTGTATAATTTTAAAGAAATGCTGAAAAGTTATACCAGTCTTTAATCTGGAATAACCTTAAATTTTTCATTTTTAGGTCATAAGTGGAAACATTTCTAATTGACAGTATGTAGCATATGTGTATATGTAATGTTCAGAACTGCAGATTTTTAAAAGTTTCTATTTTTAATTTGAGAAAATGTTCCCAGTTCATTTAAATAAAAAAGAACTTCCTTAACTACCTGATGTTTGATTCTCAATTGTTTTGTTGTGTAGACCAGTCTCAGAAGAGTTGCACTGAGTTAAAATCTTATGAAAATGATTTTTTTTTTTTATCCTGATTAAAGATTTCTGCTATAGTTGACTTTAGCATAAGCAAAGTAAGAGACCGAGAATTGGAATAGGAAGGACTGAAAGAACATTGACTCTGGGTGAGGGAGCTTCAGATTTCCACAAAGGATGTGATTTATGCAAAGTTGGTAGGATTCGAGCTAAGGGGTTGTGAAGCATATCCACATACCCTGCAAGTGCTCAAGGTGTTACCACTTGCCTCTGTTGTTTCTGCAGCACTGACAGCAGAATTAAACATTTGCTAGTTCTTCAGCTTCAATAGTTCATCGCTGGCACCCTAGCTTAACTTGTAAAAGGACACTTGGTTTCCACTGATACAACAGACCATGAGCTGTTTTGTCTGAAGCATAGGCAGACAGAGGACACAAATGTGAGGTGGCAGTGAGACAAACACTTGGCAGTAACATATTAACTGTAATACGTAAATGTACCAGAGCTCTTGAGTCCAAGCTTTGGTATTTGTCCTTATCCTTGTTTTCCAATTTGTTTTCATGATTACACTTTAAAAACTTTCAGAACAAGAGATCTGAAACTGGTATAAAGTAATTAAGTAGTTTTGAACTCTTTAACAATTATTAGAACAAAAGAAACAAATGCCTTTAGTTTCTAATCCAGGAACTGTCAGTGCCGTTGTGCATGACCAAGTGTACATTACACATTTGTTTGTCAACTATTAAGAGGTCTTTGAGTGCTTGCAATAGGGATTTGAAATCCTTGAAATGTAGTGTGAGGCGGGCAACAAGATTTGTCTGGGTGGATGGATGACGAGTGAGAAGGCTTCCCAGAAAACAACAGAAGAGTGAATTGTACATCTTAAGTAGGCTTGTACCATTGCTGTTTCTCCTGAGACTTGACTGAGAGCCACACTCCTGTGCTTTGAAAGAGGCAGGAGGAACAAATGGCAAGAAGCTAGAAATGAGACCTCTGCTAAAAATGTTACTAAAATAACCTTAGAGAGGGGATGAAAAGAAAACAATGCTGTTCTCTCCGTCAAATGGTATTTAGTCATGGGGAATTTTGTGACCGGTTCACTGGAAGAACCAGGTTCAGGCTACCCAGAATGGCTGTTCCATGTGGCTCCATCTTCAAGCAGGCAGCTCTCAGACTAGCTGGGGTGCTGCAGCAGCTAGGGAGTCTATTGTCAAGTACTAGAGAAGCATTTTTTACAAATTTATCTTTGGTTCTGCTTCACTGTGTGTGTTAAATGAATGTTTTTGCATTGGTATTTTCTTTAGCAATACTTATTGAGTGGCTAGATACACAAAATGGTATTCTATTCCATTATGCATGGCCATTCTTAAACCCAGGGTTTCTAGCACCCCACAGTTATTCAAGCATACCTAAATAATATGATACCCCTTCCAGAAGCTGTTCAGGTCAGGCTGGGTGTAGCGTACGTGTCTTGGAAAGAAATGCCTAGTGGGGTCTTATTAGCCAGAAAAGTACCGTAGCTTGCAACAGCATGGGAGGGATTTTTACTCATGATCTCCTGAATGCCAAGGGAGTTACCATGATTTTCCATAGCTCTGCCTTTACTTACTGCAGCAGAAACTGCTAGTACTACAGGATTCTGCACTAAAATATTTCTGTTCTCTTGAATTTGCTTTGTGGCATTTTTATAGCTCATTTATTATGAACAGGAAAATATACATTAAAATAAAAAAGTGAAAGGTGCTAAAGCGCAAAGGTCTGTCTGACATGCTCTGGGGTCTATTCCCTGCTGCTGAGACCTATGATAAACAGTTCTGCTGTCTCACTCTGTTGACTGAAGGTAACCCATGGTGTGACAATGATGACAGAACTTCCAAATGTTTGGTTTATGTTTAGGCCTGTAATACCTGAATTTGCTAAAGCTTTATTCCTTATCTTGCTTAAATATTTCAAGTCTAAAGATCTCTCATGGCTCAAAGAATGTGAAGTTGATTCTTCCATACGTCCTCGCTGCATGGCATGTGCTAACAAATTAAAGTGCTAAAGTTGCATCCCTACTGTGCAAATCCACAGCAAACCTGTTCCACAAATCAGCCTTTATTAGTAGGACACATTTATAATCATCCAGATGTAGCTGCATAGATTGCTTTGGCATTTTTCTTTTTTTTTACTTCAGTATGGTCTTACAAGCTCTGGCATGAAGTTAGCCATAAAGCAGCTGGAGAATGGAAAAGATCTATTAAAAATCAAATATGACATGTTCATCCTGGGTAGGAATGTACTTCTCGGTTATACAACTGTCATTCTGTGTTTAACTGCATTTACAAGATTTGTTTTGTTACTTTCTTGGGAGTTCACAGGTTATTTGACACTCCCTCAGGCTATAAATTATGGGCACAAGCCTACTGAAGTGTGATTTATTATTTTATTAAAAAAAACCAAACCACCTTACATCCCACGTTTCACTGGAAAGAGGCTTCTTTGTGTACCAAGCCTTTAAATTGTGAGCAGCCACTTACTGCTTTCACTTTTTTGGATCGTGTTGCTCAAGGATCTCTGTCAACTCCTCTCACCATGAAGAGTTTTGCTCTTCTTTTCCTAGTAGTGATCTGTGGCGTGGGAGGACTGGGACAGAAGCTGAAGCCAAAGAAAAGAAGCAATGGTGAAGAAATCCATTTTCGGACTAAAACCAAAGATGTTTGCACAATGAGCATGAGTGGAGATGAGGAGATGAAACTTCGAATTGAATGCAAAAGCCAAGGCACGTCCTACTGGTGTGAATTCACTGGCAAGCCATTAGTCTGTCGTGCTTTCAGAAACAATCCAAAGATTTACTGGAACCAGATCGCTGTGGAACTTAGAAAGCTCCCGCACGCTTGCGAATCCACACAAGTGTTGAAGACCACCATGTGCCAAAAGGCTCCTACGGAGGCTCTCATGAGGCAAATAGCTGCTGGTATGGAGCCAGAAGATCTAGAAAACCAGGACCAATCAGTCCAGAAAACTTCCACTTCTATGAGAGGAGCAGGGAAAAGCTCTGTTAAGAAAATAGGCAAACCTCCAATGCTACCCTTTATAAAACCAACCCAACGTGGCCAAGGGTCTGAAAATGAAACAGAAGCAATGAAACTGGCACGGGAACATTGCTGGGAATCCCTGCATGGTTTCTGCTCCTACATTATTGGCATCTTTACAGGTTAAGGATTTGCTTCAGGTAAAACTCCCATCTTGAAGCGCAGCAGAATATACCTA